TGTGTATCTGTCTCACTCTGCTTCCTTTTGTCTCAATTCATTTCATATGTCTGTCAATATATCTATATTTCTCTATGTGTTTTTCTATCTACCTGTCTATCTATGTACCTGACTCAGTTTGTTTCTATTTATCTATCTCCATCTATCTCAATCTATTCATACTTTTATCGCTAACAATTCAATTTTTGAATTAAATGTCAATTAACTAAATCGCAGCAAAATCGTTAACCCTATAAAGAAAATCGATCATCCATTGACAACGAGTGATGGAAATTTTATTAAATTTCCATTCGAGTTTCGTAAAAGGAAATAAAGCACACAGATGAAGGGACAATTTCAATTACCTATATAACTCGTTATCACATGTGACTTGAAACAACAGTTAAGGGTACACAGACTATAGATTACGACTTATATTACAGTACGTCTCACATTATTAACCACTGCCGGATTGTTCCACTTGTTTTCCATAAAAACTTCTGCTAAAAACCGCTAGATGGCGTTGCCAAAGCAATATATGAGAAAATGAAATTGAATGGTCAGGTGTGGTTCGCTTTCTGATCATGAGACCCTGGTTCGAATCACACTATGGTCGATTTGTCAGAAAGGCGACGTCTTGATGTCATCAGCCTATAGAAGCGATCCCAACGATCGACACTTTTGGAAAGTCCCTGAAAACCGTACCATGGGTTGGTCCAAGCCATGTGAATGAAATTGGGTAGACGAAATTATTTGGGAGCCGTCGATGGTTGAACTAGCACGAAGTCGCATGTCATCGTGACCGAGGGTTTGAACGTACGTGCCTTGTTCAGACTGCTGATCACGCCAAATAATGCACTCTCTCCCAGAAACTATAACGAAGATCCGCTCAGCGTAGTTGCAGTATAAATCACAGGTGGGCTCTGTAGGTGTTGATTACAAATACAATTGTGCCTGAGCTGGCGTCTGCAATAGGGATTGCTTAGCCTCCCTAGCAAACAGGTATACTCTGATAAGAGCGGTCAGTCATTACTTATACGAGAAAAGAGAACAGCATTCTCACTCTTTCTTGTCCTCTTACCCACAAGATGCGTTAGAGATAAGATGACAACTCGTTCACTTCTGTGGGACCTTGTGTCTCCAATAAACGTCGTGTCATTGAAAACAGCACAGTACAGTTCTTCCTCGATTATTCGTACCAGGATTTTCAGGACGTGAAATCTTAACATTTTTTTAAATCTCAGACAAGTGTTTTGAGATACTAAAAAATCATCCTAAACGTTTAATGAAAAATACTGAGAAAATCAGTTCATGTTCATTTCTTCATTGTTTTTAATCTAATTGAATTAGCCCAGCTTAATCATGCTCGATTTTAACAGCCCCCAATGTTGAATTTCAAACACTGACACACAGATTATATTTGCGCTTCCAACCTGATGTTGCCCTTTTAAATACACTAGTCCTGGGTAAGACAATAAATTACTTCCGGTAAGAAGGCCTCTGATCAGGAGGTTTGGATTGAGCCTAGAACCACCTCTTAATTACTGTTGTTCCTAGGCCCACCTGACCCGGGGCGGTAGCACCTGTTAGAGGGTCCCAACTATGGGCCAATAGTTAACCCCCAAACTGGGGCGAAAACACTATGAAAGTGTAAAAATAGATTTTTATAGTAAAAATTCGAGCAATGTATTTAAAAAAAAAAATTATTACCAGTAATGCATTTATGGAAAAAAATTTTTACAAGTTATTCGATCATAATAATTGCCTTCCCCGGCGAAGTATTTTGGGTCTGGAGATAAAAGATAAATCTTAACTATTTTATAAAAGATAAATCTTAACTATTTTATTTAGGCCGACATATACATCTCTAACTAGCCAGTAGGATCGCTCTCTCACCCGAATGGGAAACAAGTTCCCAGACACGAAAGTACCAGGTCTACATTGTATAACGGTTTAGACTCTACTTCCTAAAACCCTTCTCTATCTATCATTCCCACGCTAATTAAGCCAATCAAAATCGACTTCCTTTATTTTGTCTTGTATCTGGCCCCTAAGGTCAAACTGAAGAAGTCAGAGCAAAGATACTCTTCTGAAAAAAAAAAATAGCAGTCTTCTAAACTATTATTTAACACTAGCAATAAAAATCTTGTCGCCCTTAAATAATCCATTGAGGATAAATAAACCAAACCAAATCTATTTTAATCCGGCTGTAAGAATTAGCGGCAAAACAAACGCGGGCTCAGCCGGATACACGCAAAAATTGACGCATGATTTCATAAAAATAAACTTGATAAAACCTTGAAAAAAAGCGTTTTTAAATATATGATTATATAAATGTTAAATTTCTTTAAGAATATGACCTTTTCTTGATTGTTTTTCCATAACTTAGTCATTCAGTTATCCGGAATTTTGAATTTTCAGAATATAAATTTCTATCCATGGTCGCTAGGGGTCCGGTTAATCGAAGATATGCTGTACAACATTGATCACAACACAAAAAGTACAGCGAACCTCGTGTCGCATTGAACCCAACACGATGTCCTAATAATGGCTTCCTTGAATACAGACTGTCATATCTAATAACTCCACCAAACCAGTAATTAAAGAACCCTTTTCAAACATACATATCAACTTCACACACATACACACACGTAGGATTTTCACATAGGTAGCATATTATATATATATATATATATATATATATATATATATATATATATATATATATATATATATAAAGAAAAAAGAACAGTAAGATATATAATCTGGTGTTCTTATAGATATTTTATTTTTACAAAATAGTGTTCAATGTAAATTTAAAACACCCACAGTAAAATGAAATTAAAATGAAAAGCTAGAAGATGTAAGCCATTGAATGACCCATGTCCTTTGTACTTACATGAGAAACATTATATTACTAGGTTTATATAAAAATTAAAAGTTTACTAAATCAGAGAGATTAATTAGCTATTTTTGCCGTCATTGTCATAAATTTCGCTTAAATATTATTTAAATATAAATTTTTGAAAAATTGTGACCTGGTAATATACAGACTTATACTTGATGTGAAAATAATTCTACATACTGTAAGCGATTCTAATGCAGTTACTTGTTCTAAAAAGAAATATAGTATATTAAAAATTAAAAGTGAAAATATTTTTCAAATCGTAGTTAAATAAAACGTATTCTAACCTAAACAGCCCCACAAAAATCTTTAAATATACCAAATAGAAAAAAATGCCGTAAGAATTTTTGCCGTTAACAATATTTTTTTTTAAAAATCCAGACAACATGCATTTAACGGATGTTAGAATTCATTGAAAAATACATCCCTACCCCTTACATAACGTAACTAATAACTGATACATCAAAATACAGCGATAATGAACACGCAAACACCCCTTGTCTGCATGAATAGATTTCTCTGTATCCTTGGAAACGTGAATTATGATTTTTTGCTGTGTCTTTAAAACCCAGTAATTTTAAAAGTTACTCCAAAATTCGCTTGAGGATGAAATGGAACTAATGTCTTTAATTTAATTACAAAATTAAATTCGAAGCTTTTATCTTCCATTTTTTGAAACATGGTTAGAACTGCGCGAAAAAAAACATTTTAAATCAAAACATAATTTATAATATATATTATATTTATATATATATATATATATTAAATAGGCCGTATATTTATTCTTTTTTATAATACTACATTCTTTCTATTTAATTTGCTGAGGCAATAAAGTATATTGTTTGTACTGTACGTAATAGTCTGTATATACATGTTTACACATTTATTTGTGGAAACTCCAATGTGTTCACTATCCTATTAATGAATATTTGCTAAACACAATTTTATTTTTTTCCCATCTCATAGGTTTGGTTTGGTTTGGTTTGGTTGTTTTACGGCATATCAATCTCAATTGGTTATTTAAAGCCGACAAGATTTTTATTCCTGGTAAAAATTTTTTAAATGTATAGTTAGTAATTTTTTTTTCAAAAATGTATTGCTGGTAATAAATGTATAACTAGCAATATTTTTTTCAATAATGTATTGTTGGTAATAAATGTATAGCTAGTATTTTTTTTTCAGTAATGTATTGCTGGTAATAAATGTATAGCTAGTAATTTATTTTTCAATAATGTATTGCTGGTACTAATTTTTACACGGTATTTGTGATATTAAAACTTATTTTCACACCTTCACAATGTCTTGACTCCAGTTTAGGGGTTAAACATTTGCCCATAGCTGGAACCCCAATAGACGCAACCATCACGGGCCAGGGCGGACCCGGGAACACCAGCAAGCAAGAGGTGGCCCCATGGTCGTCAAAACCTCCCGATCAGAGGTCCCACTGTTGGATGTAGTTTATCGTCTTACCAATGACGCGGATGTAGTTTATCGTCATACCCAGGACGGCCATATTTTAGATGAAATAATGAAATAATTCGCGGGAACATTTGCACTGTAAATGTTTTTATTGATTCATTTTCTACGCGTTATCAAGGCTTTGCAAGTTATTTAAAGCCAGAAAATAGTTTTAGATTGTAATAATTGTTTAATGATAAAAGTTTTACTAATTAACCCATATATGAGGGGACAAAAGGTGGATTCATACCTAACCATAATTTGATAAAGAAACAAAAAATTATAATTGGATATAAAATGAGGGGTCAATTCTATATTATAATCAATATATAAACGGTTTCCTTACATTCTGGCCAGAGTAATTTCTATACATTTATATTCCCGATAATGTAAATGATATGCCTTTATCAAACCTTTGCTGGTTATTTAAAGCCAGGAAATAATTTTAGATTGCAAGAATATCGGGAGGAGGGAATTATAGTTTAGTGATACAAGTCTTAATAACTAAAACATAGCTGGAGGGAAGTAGTGGATTTATATCGTCCCCAATGGGATTTGCGCCCAAGCGAATATAATGAACCGAACGGGAATTGGAACTTAGTTCTCCGATTAACAATTCCCTACAATCATCCATTACACCAACCGTACATCCAAGCTTATAGCCCTTGGTATTCCCAAGCGGTCACTCATCTTAGTACTTACCAGGCTCAGTGTTGCTTAACTCCAGTGATCGCACAGGAATCGGTGTTTCAATCTGACATGACTGTAAGCCACTGTTAATGCGGCTGAAATTTGCTATAATATATATATTGTAATTAAAACTCAAACACACCTAATAGTGATTTTCCAAGCGTAGCTTAGATGTGGCACAAGTTCGAAAGCATGGGGCACCCAGTGAGGATCGAACTCACGACAGTTTTAATTGTTCTAGCGAGACAAGCTTGCTAACCATTACACCGCCTCGAGGTGTCCCCCAAACATACCTAATAGATTGAATCTTCCTTAACCTTAACGACTCAAAATATTAAGATTGTCTGCGCTTATAAATTAAGTAAATTTCTTAGAAAGTTATTCCTAGCATCGCTTGACAATGGAACGAAACTTTTGATTTTAAGTTTAATTTTTATAATTAAATTTACAATTTTAATTTCAGTTTTGTGACATATAAATTTCTGTATCATATTTTTTAAAAAAGAAAATAATTATATTACATAATATATATATATATTATTATTATTATTGGTACCCGAGGAAAAAATTAGAAAAACAAAAAGAAAGAACCAGAAATATCCAAACAGGACGAAACAAATTGTCGAGTGCAGTAAGCCTTTAGTCCAAAGAAAAAACGCAAGCGAGTAATAAAGCTAAATAGTAGAGTGCTCAATACGCTAAGTAGAACTGGGATAAATAGAATATATCCTAAAGAGCCAGGAACAACCTACCTACGTTTCACTTAAACGGATCTTCAGGGTAATTCATTATATATATATATATATATATATATATATATATATATATATATATATATATATATATATTACAATGTATACATTATAAAATACTTTTAGAACGTGGCAACAATTTTATGAATTTGACCGGATATTCAAAATTTCTCACTATTAGCTCGGTTACAGAAACTCCAAGATAGACTAGACTGTAATTAGAAATTACAACAGCGCGTGCGAAGAACTTACAACGTCACATATTTTTGAACATAATTTGAAAATAGTACTACTATAACAGCAATTGTTTTCGAAACTAGCTCGCTAACAAATGTCCCTTGGTGAAACGCTAAGAATCACACGCCTATCTATATATCAACTCACCTACCGAAGCAAGCTGTCTATCTCGACTACCCCCTGCTTTTTTTTTTTTTTCACTCTAGCAATTTTAAGGAAAAAAAAATACTTTCCTTTCCCACCATTTACTTGTTACAGCGGGCCCCAATGCATAGTTTTCCCCTTCCCTTAACGAAATGAATGCTAAAGTAATCAAATACATTGGCAGGTAGACAAACAGGATACAGAACAATCAAGCCTCGTTTTCGTTTTTTTTTTTTTTTTGTTTGTTTTGTTTTTGTTTTTTTCTAACCGGTTATAGGAGACTACTATTCGTCAAATGTGTACCTGAACAGACGAGAACTAAAAAATGCCAACTTATCAAATATCTATCCTCCTTACCTGCCATAAAACGACTTGCCTGCTAGCTAAACAGGCAGATTCAAATTCAAATGATTCCTTGACCTATTAAATTATTGGGATACCGAACCAAGTCCTTTATTGCATTTCTGAGGGGCAAATGGAGACAGTTGGTCGTCTCATTATCCTCGGCAGCAGCTGCAAGTATTAATGCTTGTTCAAGGCTTGTTACGTTATCTGAACAAATTGTCAACAGCTTTTACCAACCTTTGATTCTCTAAACGGCTTTTTACACGATATTATAGCCGCTTTCACAGCAGGAACAAAGGTTTGTAAGGAATTGACAAAAAAGTATAACTGAATTTATTTACTAAGAGCCACAGGAAATAGTGCTGGCTGGCTAAGAAACGGGACGCAAATATGAAAATTTATAAGGAAATAGATTAGAGCCTTTGGGAATGTAACCGAAAACGTGAATGATTCCCTCGAAATGTTTAAAGAAAAAAATGAAAAAATACTGAAAATGGGAAAGTCTAGTCGGAAATATAAAGGACCTATTGAATGGTAATGGTAATGTTAGCCGTTTCCCTATAAGGAAATATATTGCATTCACTGAGCGAGTAGCCAGTGGTGCTTTTGGCTGAAATTTAGAAAATCTTTCTCCTCAAACAATTTCTTAGGAAAAAAGGTTTCTCAAGTTCAGTCGCTTTTATCGCTCTTTCCCTTATTAATGTGTGTTTTCTTCCTAATATTTTTATGTGAAAAATATATTCGTTTTATCGAACTCCAGTAAAATGTGCAAAAGACATCAAAGAACTATTTACTGGGAGTAAAATGTACAAAAAATATAATAAAGCAATTGAATGGGAGTGAAAAAAGACCATAAAAGTGGGTATCGAATGAGAATAAAATAAGATAATATAAAAGGAGGTATTGAATGAGAATGAAATAAGAAAATATAAAAGGAGGTATTGAATGAGGATAAAATAAAATAATATAAAAGGAGATATTGAATGAGGATAAAATGAGATAATATAAAAAAATTACTGAATTAGAGTAAAACGTGAAAAAATATATAAAATGTTTATTGGATGGTACTAACATATGAACAATTTTAAAGAGTATACTGAATGCTGCTAACATCAGTGTAGTATCGTATGCAAATTAGATAGACAAGTATAAATAGAGAACAACTGGTGAACAGGAGGTGACCTGCATAGCAAACCCGGTTGGTATTCAGCATACGGAGAAACACAGGAAAGGAGTATTGAACGGTATTAAAATATAAAATAACGTATAAATGACTTATACCTAGGAAGCGAGATAAATTCTATTCAAAAGGGTGTGAAAATTCGCATAGTTAAAGCCTGGGTCAGCTTGAATAAAATGGAAGCAGACAGGATCGAACTCACCACTCAATCATAAGAGGTCTAGCGAGACAAGCTTGCTACGCATTATAACTAGACAATTTGCTTAGGAATATAACTTTTATTACGCCATCAATTAGTCCTTAAGATATACAAATGTATAGACAAATATATAGGTATAATTGAATCGATAAAATCTACGAAGTGAATTCACATAGCTAAAGCGTGGGCCACTATTGATAAAAAAAAAATATGTAATCTGGAAATCTGATTTACCAGACAACCTCAAACGGAGATTCTTTCGCGCCACTGCAAAAGCGGTGTTAATGTCACAGCTTGGACATTAAATAAAACTCTTGTGTATAAGCTTAATGGAACTTATATTCGGATGCTGACAGCTATACTCAATATGTCTTGGAGATAACATCCAAATAAATTACAGCTCTATGGGCCCATTCCTAATATTTCTACAATCGAACGCAGAAGGCGTTTTCCAGAAGGCTTCTGGCGAGCAAAACAAGAATTCACAAGTAATCGGCTGCTCTGGACGCCTAGCCATCGGACCAAGACGTGTTCATCACCTAGCAACGGCCTACATTGAACAGGTATAAAGATTTAATGGATATTTAAAAGATCGAATGGATATTATACATACATACATACATATACATATATATATATGTGTGTGTGTGTGTGTGTGTGTGTGTGTGTGTGTGTGTGTGTGTGTGTGTGTGTGTGTGTAGCTGCCCACTCATATGCGACAATACCTGTCTACTATGGCGGCTAGCCAATCCTTATTGCAGACGCTCGCTCAGGCACATTTGTGTTTGCTCAAAACCCACAGAGCCCACCTGTGTTTTATACTGCGACTATGCTGAGCAGACCTTAGTTACAGTTTCTGAGAGAGAGCGTGTTATCTAGCGTGATCAACAATTTGAACAAGGCCAGCACGCTCAAGCCCTCGGCCACGAGGACTTGTGACTTCGTGCTAGCATAGCGATCGACGGCCCAAGAGTTCCGTCTACCCAATTCCACTCACAAGGCTTATGGTTTTCAGGCACTTTTTCAAAGGAGCCGCAGTCTGGGATCGAACTCGATCCAGTCCGATAGCATCAGGAAGTCTCCTTCCTGACAAATTGACCATGGTGAGATTCAAACCCAGTTCTCATGGTCAGAAAGCTAACGTTCTAACAACTCGCCCATATATATATATATATATATATATATATATATATATATATATATATATATATATGTGTGTGTGTGTGTGTGTGTGTGTGTGTGTGTGTGATAGATATGAACAAACTGATAGACAGATTTCTACCAAACCCAGCCACGCATGACCTGTTTATACACAACTCCAAGACGCTCATTGCTAGCAAAACAATGACGAATGGCGACACATTTACACTCCCATTCATGATCATTAGGCCCATATTCAAATGTTAATTCTCTTCCAGGTGTGACCGATGCAGAAAAATAGTTAGCAGCCTGAGGACTGTCTAAGACTCATTTGGAAGCAGAATTGAGAGATGGACAGGGAATGAAAGCCAGTATCACCTAATTCAGCTACAATATATAGTCAAATATCTATCTATCTTTAAATTACTGACACGAGGTATTGATTTATCCATATTTCTTTTTAGGCAATTGTGCGCAAGAACCTATACAGGCAGCAAAAAGCATGCCTGCGCATATGAAACGAGTTCAGTGAAGACACAAAATTAGAAAAGGGCATAAGGCAAGGATGCGTCTTCTCACCCGACCTGTTCAACCTATACAGCGAGGCAGTCCTGAGAGAATTGGAAACCCTACCGGAATTTAGCATTGGCGGCCACAATCTTAACAACATAAGATACGCAGATGACACAGTACTGATAGCAGGCACGGAAAAGGAATTACAAAATCTCCTACAGAAGGTAGCGACGGAGAGTGAGAAGAAGGGACTAAGCATAAACTACAAGAAAACGGAGCGTGTGGGATGAGCCCGAAATGCGATCTGAAGGTCGGGAACACTAGAACCAAGCAGACGCGGAAGTTTAAATACCTGAGAAGCGTCTTGACAGAGTACGGTAAGTGCGACACTGAGATCTGTACGCGTATCAGGATGGCCAAGGACATATTCCAAGTACTGCGAGACAGGAGGATATCTTTGGTAACAAAGAAAAGAATACTGAACTGTTACGTGACATCTGTTCTTCCTTACGGAAGCGAATGTTGGACGATTTCCTCAAAGATGAAGAAGCGACTCAAGACGACAGCG